TTCGCCAATTCAATTCATTTGACGTGACGCTAATAATCACCCCAGGTACGATCATGAAATTAATAAAAATGGATAGAGGGCACCTTAAAACTAAGAGTGTTCAATAAAAAAAATCTGCGGAATAAGCCCTAGATTTTCCACAATGTTTCGTATTATTGATTTTGAACTATTGGTTTATTTGGAAATTGAAGAATGACCTGCTTTATGGGATATGAAAAATAATGAGAATCCATCTTTGATAGTGACAACATTGCAATTTTCATATTTTCTAAGCCGAATAGTTTACCGTTTTGTGTGGGATATAACAAGAGGCTGCTGATTCGGCGATCAAAACCGACTACTGTGTTTTTAGTCTTATCATGCGACTTTTTTTAGCCCGACGATGGCTGATACCTTCCGAATTGGAGGGAAACCATATTCCAAAACTTTAAGAATGAATATTTCGCAACCGGTTTGTCGGAGGAGAGTACTCTCAAAGGCAAAATGAATCGTCTGAACGAGACGTGTCTAAATAAATAAATAAATAAATAAATAAATAAATAAATAAATAAATAAATAAATAAATAAATAAATAAATAAATAAATAAATAAATAAATAAATATATAAATAAATAAATATATAAATATATAAATAAATAAACAAATAAATTCCAAATGTCATTAGAATATGATAAATAGCATTATGCGGGTCACTCTGTAATTGGGCGCATGCCTGTTGAGGGCCCAAAACAAGATAGGGATAATAATGATAATCATTTATGGAAAATTGGCGGCACGGGTTCGATTCCCGGCCGAGGCAGAATTTTTTTAATTTAACGTATTTTTTAGCATTTCTATTTCGCCAGAATAATGATGATCGTCAATGTCGGATATCACACAGGATTGCAGTACCTTTTATTTCTATATACAGAGTGGCCCAACGAGAAGTATACAGGGGGCTTTTAGGGTATTAAATTTAGAAATTTCTAAAAATCCTCAAACACGTCAATTAAAATTTTATTTTGACGCTTCGTTTGTTAAACTTAACTGAACCTGTCAGTTCTCCGAAACGAATCAATAGAATTTAAAAAGCAAAGCAGATTAGTAATCACGATTAAATTGGCTTTCAAATAATGTACCATTTGCCATAGGATTTCATTTCAAATTTTAGGGGTTAAGCTCCCTACGTAGAGGGGTGAAGACTTGGGTTCGTGATTTGTATTCCAAAATCCTCGAATACAAAGTTGACGTGTTCGAGGATTTTTCGAAATTTCTAAATTTAATACCCTCTGTATACCTCTCGTGGGGCCACTCTGTAGTTTGTAGTCTAAATAAATGTTTGTCTGTCTGTATGCGTCTGAAAGCGTTTAGTGCTCTGCAAATCTTTTCTAAGACTGCATTTAGAAAGATTTTCAATATTTTCTAACCATGTCCATGGTTTTTACGTGCATTCCATTTATTTAAGAGTTTTTGCTAGAGATTTCGGGAGTCGTAATCGTTTCTAGAGCTAGTCGAACGAAAAGACGTTTAAAAAGAGTCGAGAAAGCTCTGAGATCTAACAACTTTTAAAGGGCAACGTGAAATATGTGACTGGGGACTTCAAAGTTTTATAGAGATTCTGAAAATCTGACACTTGAATGAAGGGGTCGTACCCTGAATTTATTGGAATCAGTTTTATCATAGAACAACAAACTTAGAATGGAAACTGTAGTGTAATGTCATAGATATATAAATACATAGATACAGCCATACCCCAACATAGTTCAAAAGGACGTACCATCTATTACCATCACTTTCGGCACATTAATTACGTATAGCGCTATCCTTTATAGAGGTACCCTGAGCATGGAAGACAAGATTCGCATTATTTATTATAACTGTCAATCAAATTGTTAGCACAAATCACACAGAAAATTATCAGATTTGAGACTTTACAACATAAATAAACCGCCTTTTTATTTATTTAAATCGCATAGCAGCAAGAAATGTTGCATTTAAAATGGAAGATGTTACTTAGAAAGCTGGCAAATGAAGAATTTGAAAAAATTACAGCTGACAACTGGAAGAAAGTGTGTGAACATGTGGAAAGTGATTAATTTAAAAGAGAAGTTATATTTGGTTGATGTGGCTGAACTTTATAATAAGTGTTAATAATGACAGTGATGATTCGAATTTGTCAATTTCATCTGACGATGATTCGGATTGTGAGCTTTTACAAACGTAATGAATGTTCACTAAATGAGTATTATCACCAATTGGATATCATTGTTAAGGTGTTGTATTTATTTTAAATAAATGTACACGTGTAGCTTACTTACTACAATTAGCACTATAATTTCAAAAAGAAACCCCACCGAATGGACATATGCCGAAAGGTAGGCAAGACGCGTAGCGACCAAAATTTGATATTGCACGCACACACAGTCTAAAAACTCGTTTTCCTAAGAATATTGCACGGATCCTTCTTTGTGATCATGATACAAACGCACTGCATCAACATCATATAGGCCAAAATGATAATTGGAAACGAATTCACTTCCTGTCGCAACTTAATTTCCTTTACCATTACGCCTAAAACCATGCAATTAAAATTAAAATGTTGAACATAAACTTTACTTACTTACGGTTTTTTTGATATTCTGCAAGCCAGCAATGAATTCACTGCAGCACATCATGCCAAACAAGGTAAACATAATCCCAAATTTGAATGGCGTAGCTCTATGTAATAAAACTATTTCAGGAATAACAATTATGGACGCGTCTATCATTGTAGCAAGCACTAATGTTATTCGTATTCAATTGATAACGCAATAATTACATAATATTTAGTGAAAAAACCGCCCATCATGTTTAGGGCGAATATTTTTAGTTAGATTTGATTTCGCGCGATCGTGAAATGTGTCAACTGTCACATGACTTATATGGGACGCGATAAGTTTGTTTTAAGCGTCCGATCCGCGTACGACATAGTGGTTAAGGCAATAAAAAGAGATAGAACATGTTTCATCTTGGTTAGAAAGTAATGGAGAGATGTACAAATTTCTTTGATATGTTTTTTAAAAACCGAGGTACGTTTGTTAAGGATGGCTGTATCTAGGTATTTATATATCTATGTGTAATGTAAAAATGACACGCCATCTCGTGTATGTTCTCAGCAGCTTTTGCGTGAATGGCGCCAAATTTAAATATTAAAATGTAAGTTACGTCCGCATTATACCAATTTCTCCGGATCTGTAACAATAACATTGGATTTGACTAGCTGAAACCTAAAAAGTAAATGAATCCAGCCAGTGAAGTCCAATTTTGTTTGTTAGGGATCCAAATAAATTCAGTTTAATGCGGATGCACCTCACCAGTCAGGGCCTTCAAAGAGTACAGGGCACTTGTTTTATAAGTAACAACTCCAATTAATCCAATCAAGGAGTTATATTTAATTTAATACGATTATATAAGATACAAGATCAACTTCATGGAACTCTACTGTATGATGCTCTCCAGATCGTTCTAAAAATAAAATATGTGGCAATTTATTACAATTCAATTAGTGTTACCTGCTAATATAATGTGCGAACTGCCACACGCTTTAAATCTCTTCGTGTTCCAGGTTCTAAACCGCATCCAGAAAAATGACGTTCACAAACCAAAAACTTTTGTGTAAATTTCTTCCACATTATATTCTAAACCAATTCTTAAAAACTTCGGGCTCCATTTTTGGGAAACGTCTTCACAATTTGTCACACAACATGTACGTTCTCGACTTGTGTATGCAGAATTCATTGTAATAATGAATAGTAATTATACTTAAAGCACAATAAGCCGTCAATCAAAATTCAAAATTCAACTGTCATAATGGCGAACACGCACTAAAGTTACTAGATTTAGTAACTTTAACACGCACGCTAACTATGCGCCCTCTATTGAATGTTCTCCAAACTAATTATGTTTGTACTCAGTTGTTCCCGTTTACGTTTCCCTTCTAAGTTTTTTGTTCTGGGGTTTTATTGCTTTTAAAACATTTGAACATCCAACCAAAAGTTTACAAAACCCTTGAAACCGTTTATAAAGTTTTTCCGATTTGGAAAAGTTTCATAAGGCTCCTATAGGTAAGGCCTGGAAAAGATCAAGGGAACACTGGAAGCTCAGAACCATCTAGCGGTTTTGCAAGCTCCAAATGAAGTTTAGAACTTTCAAGTGCTTTCAGGGTGATCCATAGACTCTAGACTTCAATATAGTTGCCACCTGTTGAATCCGGATTTGGGACGCATTCAGCCAGAAGTTAATGTATGTTTTGTTTTTTAATTACTTTTTTTTATTAATTTATTTGATAATATAATATATTGTCTTTTTACAAGGAGTAGTTTTATGCATATGTGACGAATCCTGAAGTGTGCGACCAAGTGTAAAAAGGGAGTAAGTTTATGCACACCTCTGGAATGTAGGCAAAACAACATACACCAACCGATCCCGAATCAGAGGTATTTGTGGCATATACAAGGAAAGGTGAAGGGCAGTGGCCAATTAAAAGGCAGTTCACCCCTTTGCGCAACTGTGGCCTTACAACGTGTCTAAAAAGAGTATAGGTTACTAAGGGGTAGAGGAAGGTTTGGAAATGGCTTGCCTAGTTTGAATATTTCACAATTCATCAGAATTTTACGAGCACCTTGTGTTTTGCTAGAAATTTTTCAAAATTTTACTGGTAAGTCACAATTTGTACGTGAGCCAATGATATCATTTTGGAAAAAGTCAAGTCAACACCTCCCATACTCCTGCGAGTAGGTAAGTACGTTGGAGCACACAGTCCCTTAATTTCGTTACTATACGGCACTGTAACAAAGGTCTATGTTAAACTTTGGAGATTTATTTATTTTTATTTATTTATTTATTTTGCTTTTATTTTTGAGTGGGCGGGGTTTCATCCAAGGCTGCTCTACCAAGCCAACCCTCCATATATTTAGAAATATCCATGCCCGAACCCGGATTGGAACCAGGGGCCCTTAGAACCACAGTCCAGCTTCAACTGAACTGCTCCACACGGGCCGGCTAGCGATGATAGCGAGGTATTACTAAGAGCAGTTAGCCGTTCTTAAGGTGGAGTGGAGTGAGTGAAGCGGCCGCTCCAGGCCTCGCGCTAAAAAATAAGTAAACGTTTTGGTTGAATGAACATAATATAATAATATACAGATATACGTACCGTTACCTAAAATAACTACCTAATTACCAGCCCAATATGTTCAATTGTTGAATAATTAAAAATCCTACGAACGAGATTCTCATTCGTACGCGATAGCTATTAGTCGCGAACAAAAGAATCAAATACAAAACATCGTTTGGTAGTGGTGGCGGGGTGACGGGTGACGGAGCCCGAACCTTGCATGATCTCCTCCCCTCTCTTTCACCCCGTGACAGTCATTCAAAGTGCAAAGTGCTTAAAATGACGACTTCGCAGTATAATTTTGCAAACATTTCCGGGGGAGGACTCCCCTCCGCCGAGGGAATCCACCCCCAACCCCGGCAATCATTGTCAAAGAAGGACCCGTAAAAATGTTTCGCTCCAGGCCTCGCATTTGCTAAAGACGGCTCTGACTAACAGGAACCACAGATGCTTGAGTTAAACAAACGTTCCTGACGTTACTAATATGTAGCAACATCCTACACAAGCTTATTTTGGTTAAATTTAAAGGAAAATATTATCTCACCCAATGTTGCTATCTGTCGTACCGTATAGGGCTAGAAATATGACCTTATGGAACCAATCATATGCATCTTAAACTCATCTGCTCAAAGCAGTTTCACAACAATTGAAACACCTTCGTCGTGCACTTATCCGTTTGTTATCGCGATAAACTTATTCTGCATCAGATAAAGCACAAGAACTAAACGAATTATACAGGGTGTTCCTTAAAGACATGCTAATATTTAAGGAGATGATTCTTGGACGTATTTAAAAAAAAACTTCTTATGAACGTATAACCTACACATTTTAATTTTTGAGATACGGGGTGGTAAAGTTTAAAAAAATCAGATTTTTAATAATAACAGAGATAATATTGTAGATACCTTTACGAAAGTTGGTACATGGTCTATGCATCAAGATGCATTGCGAAGGAAATCTACCGACGGATGACGCCATCAACGACATGACAGTTTCATTTTCGGTATGCCGGCGAATCTCAAACAATTAATTACAGTGACCGTAAATCAAAAACGTACTTAAAGAAAATAAACTGTTAGAAGTACGTGTATAGATAGATACCCATGGCATTCTCCTTTGAGAGCCTTGTTGGAAAATTTCCGATATAGACCCAGTCGACGTTGCTTAATTTTCATATCCATTAGTTTGAGAAATAACAAATTTTTTATTAGTTTTTCATTGGAAACTGTAATTGCTTGTATTATTTTCTAAAAATCTATAGTTTATATTAAAATCCCCTCTACGCCAGTTATTTATGCTAATAAAGCTACCAACCTTTGGAGATCGAGATCCTCATGCAAATAAGTCACCCTGTCTATTCGAACGATATGAAATGCCGTAGATAAATACCCAAAAAAATGTGCTTGTAAAAATCTTGAAGGAAAACTCAATCATCAATAAATTTACGTGTAAAAACATCTAAGGCGACATTAATAAAGGAATTATATTCTCTGAAGCATTCATAAACATCAAAAGACATTTGTGTATAAGTTAGTCGTTTACAAAAAGACCACTAAAGCTTTTCGGGTAAGCTTGAAAACATAAAATAAAATAGAAACTTCAAAACTTTTGACGTACAAAAACAGTTGTCTTTCAATCGCCATAAAAAAGTTGACTGCCATATAATACACTGAGATGTCAGCTAGAGAGAGCTACACGAAAAACTGTAATAAAGTGATCTCACGTAATTGTATTTACTTCCTTCTCTACTATCTGCTTAGAAATTACGGGAGATTCCTTTTATGAGAAGTGCATTATACGAATGGGGACCCTACGAGAATAAAATCACAAGTCGCCTCCGGATGAACAAAGTTAGTTTCCGGTTTGACTGAGATGTTTTTACAAGCCGAGCTGTCTACATAAAAAGCTGACATTGTTGTTGAGCTAATTCTCTTCTACAATTATCTGCGATTACGGCCCCATCAAAGTCTACGCTTGAGGGTCCAGGAGGGACGCACGAAGTTGTTCTCAACACAAGTTTGATGTCTTTATAGCTCAATGCGGTTTAGTGACTAAGATGGTTTATAGGTAAATGCTACATCTACCTACTACTGACGACAAAATCGTTAAAAGCTAAAGGAAACTTTGTCACATCATAATCCATGAGAATTTTATACCTTATAAGAAACTTCTTTATTAGACATCGCCAACTGAGGGAGACCATTCTGTATAGCAAGTAAAATAGAGTGTTATACGAGGGCCACAGCAAAAGTTTAAGATCATTGGCGTTAATTTTTTTACATTGACAACTTAGTGTTTCAAATGGTGGGAGAAAATGTAGGGATCAATGGTGTTGTGCTTGTAGCAGGAAGCCGGTTACTTCTTTTAGTGGTTAATGATCGAAGGTGTGGATTTCTTGTTTAAGAAGGAGATGAACCTTGACTAAGAAACTTTACATTTCTCGATCAATTTGCATCATGCAATACAACGGAGGAAACTGGTCTTGGGTTCGCGCAAGGTGGCGAAGTGTTCATTGCTGAGGAAAACTTGTCAGCTATTTCGACGAAATTCGCTAAGTTAGAGATTTATCCCTCTCCTTCCAAAAGGACTTCCCAAACAAGGATGCCATCAACACTGTCAGCTGGCAATACCGTAAATTCGTTGAAGTATGTGAAGTAGTAAGTAAGCGGTAAGTAACCTTCATAAGTTTCCTTCGGTGAAGCTACTTTACAGACTTTCACCATCTGCGAAGATCTGCGCTTTAAAAATAAATGTGCGCCATTCTCAGAGAAATCACCTATTACTTTCAATCACTAAGGTTCACAAAGTCTTCCTTCATAACTATGGAATTAAAATAAATTGAGGTATTTTTGAAAACTGGTTCTTTTGTTTAATTAAATATTACAAGAAAAAGAAAATTAATAAAAATCTACCTATGTATGGAGTTAGGCCTTGAAAAGAACAGTCCTAGTTGGCACCTTGGATGCATTTTATTCCCTCTGCCGGCCCGTGCGGCGCAGTTCAGTTAAACTTGAACTGTGGTGCTAAGGGTCCCTGGTTCGAATCCGGGTTCGGGCATGGATATTTTGTAAATGTATAGTGGGTTGGGTGTGGTGTAACATGCAGTAGGTAATTCCGCTGCTTTCCCAGTAGGACCACTTTTGTATAGGTCATACTATGTTGGTTGTTGTCTAAACTACAAGCAATGTAGATCATTCGATCATGGTTTTTGTCTATACTAAATACCAATGTTACTGAAGGGCATACACGTGGGTTCGTTCCAAAAGTCAAAATGACTGAAGGTCGTAGACGTGGGTATGTACCAAAAATGTACTTACTAGATATATTGAAACGGAACAGGTAACTGGTAACTGCTAACGGGTGAAGAGACAGAACGGGACCTGTTCTTTCTGAGATGTTTATTTGAAAATTCACTGGGTAGCTGTGATAACTCCGGGGTTTCTGTGGAACCCTGGCGTTGATGCAATTCCAAATATTGTCATTAGGCGATACAGTGATTAGCAAGAGCTAATCTTTTAGAGGTGCCCCTGCAGAAGGTCTTAAGTTGTTCTATACTACATATTCCGGTATTTACCTTACCAATTAAGAAAACTGCTGGAAAACCTAATTCGGAGTAGCCGGCAGAATGCTCGAAACTGATCTAAGTAAATTCCTATCTCTGCCACAGATGAAAAACTCGCCTCAACCCAGGTTGGAACACCCGACCTCCCGGCTATGTAGCCCAACGTTCTACCACTGAGCCACACAGGCGGTAATCCCTTTTAGTCAGTAATTCCGAAGAAGCAAACAAAAGTATGGCTAATTTCAGATTGTGAATCGGTCTTGAAGCATTTTAGACAAGAACCTGGCAAGCTGTTTGGGCGTTAGCTTTAGTTTAGGACGGAACCCTCCGCCCTTAGTGACGTCTATGAGTCATCGAGTTCCAAATCACCTTTTGTTCTCGATCAAGCTCTACTGTTTTTTGTTTCCTGCAAATTACTGACTAAAAGTGATTACAACACACCAGTAGGTGCTAACCCCCTCGCTAATAATTGTCTCGGCTAATGACAATATTTGGAATAGCATCAACTCCAATAAATTTCGCAAGGGTTTCATAGAGGCTCGATATTATGACAGCTTACTGAGTAATACATATTTATACCACGTGGATGAGTAGTTCTAAAGGTGAGGATGCCAGGGAAAATGAATAAGCATCCTTTATACATTTTTTTAATACACAAACTTTACATACAATTGTCTTAATTTAACACGAGGGAGTAAATGGAACACTCTGTATATAAATTAATTAAGTGACATTCAAATATAAAATAACAAAACTGGTAGTCGCAAAGTTTACCGGAACTCACAAAGGAAATACGGTAATACTTTAAATTGTAATAGGTACCTACTTGCAGAACCTTGGACCTTGTAAGACTAATCATGATCATGGGGGTAAGGGTGAAAAATTCCACTTAGCATTTCAGCGGCCTACCGAACTGTGGCAGTGGACGATCTACTTGTGGAATCACTCTGTTGCTGAGACGCGAAGGCCAGATACAAAAGGAGGACGGGGGCAGAAATAGTATGTGACTGGCAAGAGGGATGGAATTAATCAAAGTGGACCAAGAAAAAACTGTACTATAAATTAATTAAAATTACCTCTTACACTTTTTTACTAGACGTGGAGAAACAGGATTTTCCTTAGGAGGATTTGTAAAAGGGCTTGAGAAAAATTCAAAAACTGCGGTGAGACAGACGATACTAGGCGTTCGACACTCTACAGTTAAGAGGGGAAGGAAGGTTCAGTTTAGTTTTGAAGGTGGGAGAACTGATAGAAGTAAGAAACAGAATAGAAGGTATGCTATAAGTACATACACGTACATGTCTTTCAAATCTTTAAAAAACCCAAATCGATCTCCCGAAAAGTCTCGCAGAAATGCTAGTGTATTGTTTCGAGAGTGTGGTGTTTTGAGAGAAAGAGCCTCCCAAAATTCCTA